AACTACGTGATCCTGACCTCAATATGAGAAGGTAATTACTATTTAAGGGTTAACGCACATTTCGAGTTTTCCATGAATAAAGCATATTGAAGTTGAGGGGCTAGGGTAGGTAATTCGCAGCAAGTAGCAAATTTTTTATGTGAATAGCTTTACTGGTCATGCTCTGCAACAACTATCGCTACTGGTATTTAAAAGGCCGATGACACAGAAAAGAAAAAATATAAAGCCCAATAAACAAACAGCAACATCAATGCTTGTAATCATGGTAGACATCTCTGTAACTCTTTCAGAAAAAATAACCAAAATACGGCTCAATTCCATCAAAGTAATACACAAACAGATTACTCTGGTCATCACTCATCACAAATTGATGCAAAAAGTTGAACGTTCTTACATTGTCTAATTTCATCTTAGTATTATCTTAAAGACATAATAAAAGTGCCAAATGAGTGAACTGAAAAGGAAATGGATATGACCAGCAGTCACATATACCGATACCACCATATCGTTGAATCTGTCAATAGCTTTCAAAAACCTGATTCATAGGAACACACAGTAATATATTGTTAATCAAAAACATTCCTAAAATAATACGTTTACACACACACACACACAGAGAAATACGACATACATGTATTACACAGTAATTAGAGAAAAGGTCTCACATAGCACTAGTAGTCCAAGCCATGTCCTGAACAATGTCTAAAGCAGCATGCAGTATGAACTGGTGCTGATGTGCAGCATCTTCTTTCTGCCATATTACAGAATCATCATATAAAATCACAGTTATGATACACTCTCCATAATTCATGAAAAACGTAACAATAGGAAACAAATTGTATGGGGAAAAATGGATGAATGCATACTTTGGGGACAGTACCAACTTCGGCTTCGTAAATTGGGATGTCATTCTTGCTGACTATCATAAAGCATGCAGTATTTGCCATGAGACTCCCACTCTTGTTCTTCAAGTTACTCTTCAGAATAGCTTCTCAGCTGGGATTATGATTATCACGAAAAATGTGAGTGAAGATTTATCTTGGTAATGAAAATGCAGAGAGAGAAAGAGCATTACTATACTAGCATTTCACTCAACTCCCACACAATGTGGCTGGAAATCTTAGCTAGATAGAAATCGCATTCAAAGACACATACACAAACAAGGAAAACGAACAAAAAGATGATTTCATCTAAACTGACTTTAGAAATTCTAAATTATATAAACCCCAAGAGATTATACCACGCGCCAGCAACCTCAATCAACAACTATAACCTCAGCACAATCATGCGATACAAAATTCTAACAGAAATTTACACAGCACAGAAAACGAAACAAATTATGAAGAAGACATAGGGAAGGAAAGACGATGGGGAACTTACACATACCTCGACTCCGACTACGCGTGATTCAATTCATGACTGCTGAGCTGCTGTGTTCATGAAGAAGTGGAATTAGGTATTAGAAAAGGATTAACTGTACCAAATGATTTTAACCACTGAAATTAAGATGTCAGCAAAGGTTGAATATTTTGGATTACTTCCAGCCTTATTTTGAATACAAAGATAGAAATGGCTTCAAAAATTATTCTAAGAATTATTGTTCTTCAGAAAAATCCAAGGGTGCCATTAGGTCACCCAATCAGTATTTCAGTCGAAAAAGAAAAAGAATAAAGAAATGGAGGACTTGGGAGAAGTACCATACCGATTGGAGCGGGGGAGGAGAAAGGAAATGAAGATCTGATCTTGTTCAAATAGTGAAAAAAAAGGGTGCATTAAATATAGAATAATGTGAAGTGTAAATAATGCATAGTACATAATTATATAGATAACTACAATTCGACCCGGTGCATTTGCACATATATATAAAATATTATGAATTATTTGTAGCATATAATTTTAGAATTATAAGTTAGACAATAGTATTATATTTTAAACATAGTGTATCATAAGTTATATTTATATATAATATTAAAACTATAAGTTAGACAATATTATTATGTTTTAAAATTTGATTATTAGTTAAAATAAATAGTGAACAACTTTTAATTGCATATGAATCACTATATTGATTGAATAAAATATAATAAATAATGTAATATTTGTAATTTTAAGGGATCATGAGTCATGACCAATTAATTAGCTGAAAATATTAATTTATTACAACAATTGCTTAAGCAATTTTAAGAAATTTTACTATAATATTAAAATAAATTAATTTACTTAAAACAATCTCTTAATCAAATAAAAATCTAATATTGAGTTTAGAATAAATAACTTCAACAAAAAATTTTACAATATATTTTTTTTATGTTTATGTGACGTTTATATATCATTTAGTGTAAAATATAATTATTAATTATAATAATAAGTATTATATGTTACAATAAAAAATATAATTATTACTCAATTAATATAAAATATAACAATTTTTGTCTTAATTAACCAAAAAAAATTGCAAGAAAATATTTAATCATTAATTGGATAGGGTGAATTAATGTATAATTATATATATATATATATGTGTGTGTGTGTGTGTGTTTATATTTAAATATTAAGAACTACTACTATTTTAAAATTTAATAACTATATAGTTTTGCATCAATTTTTTCATACAATATAAATATTATTAATGAGAAGGAACTCCATAAATATATATATATATTTAATTAATGTATTGTTAAAGAAAAAACGTTTAAACAGACTAAAAAAACCTTTTATGAACTTGTAATTTGTACTACTAAACAAATAAATTTATTATATATAAATTTATCAACTTTTTACATATTAAACGACAAGTTAATCCTTTTTTGTATATATTTGTTAAAATTCAACAGCCATAGTGGGCATATAAAACTACTTTGTATTTATCAAAAAAAAATATCATAAATATTTGTATACTTTAGGTCTAAATTACTTGTGATATGGGATGCTATACCGGGTTGACTTGACCCGAGAAACAACCTGACTAAATCGAGTGAACCGACAGGTCGAACAAAGACCGAAGGCACTGAAGGTCGAAGAGTCCTCAGGTCGATGAGAATGCGACAGGATTGAAGGAGCACCGACAGGTTGAGTTAAGACCCTTGGATGGCCTGGTGGAAGCTCAACCAGAAGGCACGACTGTAACACCCCGCTTATCAGAGTAATTTTTTCGCAACTTTTACTTCGAAATTACTTTAACTCTTTCGAAATCTTTTGCGACTAACTCGGGATGCTACTCAAACTCATCATCTTGAAAATCCGTTTATCTTTAAATTTTTGTCTAATACTTCTTTATACATAAATAAAACAGATTTCCTTTAAACTTGCATTTAAAATACCATAATCATATTTCTTATAATGGTAAAAACTTGAAATCTGAAATTTATTAAAATGCAAGTTCAATACTTAATGTGCATAGCGGAAATACTTGAAAGCGTGGTTAATTATACAGACTGTTATAAATGTACTCATCAAAGCTTATCTTCATCTGAGTCCACGATTCACACCAACACTGCTCCACTCACACCTCCTCTTCGACCTGTTACCTGAAACTAAAACTCATGGGGGTGAGTAACGAATATGGATAATCATAAACCGATATCTGATCGGTAACTTAAACTTTTCTCTTCTCTTGCCGATAATTAATCGGATACGTGTGCACACTCTGATGGATATTTCTAAGGAACTCCGCCGGCCTCCATCAGAACTTAGGATATAATCTCTGAGAACAAATTAATGCCTCCTCATCCTAAGCGTAATAATCTTAAACTTTAGGATATACTCTGAGACAACTGATGGTCTCCTCATCCCATATGACATCAATATCGTACTCAATGTGATACCCATTCAGGGTCCCCACCTTTTTGTCTTTGAAATCATTTGAAATACGATAAGTGTTGTACTGGTACTGTATCTGCAAGTTACATCAAATATAAACAAATATACTAAGTACTATGCTCGTATACTCAATAAGATTTTTTTTTTTTAAATTATTAACTTATCCAAATCTTATAGAAATTCATTAAACTTGTTTTTTTTTCTCAAGTTTATACTTAACTTCTCTTTTTACTTTTACTTAAGATCAATTACTTAACCTTATATAAATCATGTCTTCATAAACATCAATATGGTATTATACTTAGCATGTCATAACTCAAATGTGAAAATAACTATATTTCACATTATACTTGATTGAGTATTTAAACTTAAAACATGCTTACTTTTACCAACATCATCAACATGATTTATACCTTATCTTAATTTAACTTGATCAAATACTTAATTCATCATACATCATATCTCCCAATTTTTAGATATTGGCTTATACTAAATTTTCACTTAATTAACTTGAAAGTGAAAATAATCTCAAGCCATAATCATCTTTTAATCATAACTTTTAATCTTGATATTAATATGTCATACTTAATACAATCTTTATAAAATTGTATACTCAACATATTATACCAAAACTTCATCAAATTACTCATCACTTATATGAGAATTATTCATGATCATCTCATTTTAAACTTAACTTTAACATATGTACTCTCCACATATATATAAAGTTACCATAAAAATTTCACTTTAAAATAATAGTCATATATTAAGATATATTATTTCAAAGTTGAAAATATAACAAAATATTCAACTAACTTGTATGCTTGTTTTTAAAAATCTATATCTCATGCTAAATGTTGATATCAAGATTAAATATCTTGAGATAAAGGATAGATTAAAAGTTTCATAAAGTCCAAATCACGAACCGGGTCTTTGACGATATAAAACGAAATAGCTGGAACCTCGGAAATATCACCTCGGTTCTCATATGACGTTCTGAGAAAAACAGTAGATCCCAAAGGTCGTCAGAATAAAATGTTAAAACCTCGAAATGGCCACCTCGGTTAAAGAGCAGCTTACCAGGAAGCCGTAGAAGACTGAAATCCTATCTAAATGCCGACGTTACGAAATGATACCGACTTCAACCCGACAGAAGTGACGCTTGTCACACAGATAGAGGAGCGCCCATGCTCATCATTACCTAAAAAGCTTGCCTACGTCATTGCCGCCCCTAAACTGTCAAATCTTCATTAAAACGAAGCTGATTTGTCTAGGGATGTGTGCCAAGCATAACTATAAATAGTAACATTGAAGACGATACGAGGATTCGGCAAAAGTGATAAAAACACACATATTTATCTCGGTTTTCTCTGTTTACCGACTTAGTGAACGTTGAAAAACCGACTTCCCAATTCTGTAACCGACTTAAAGATTTTCAATAGAAATCTCATTTTTTGCAATCTTTACTGTGATTTTTACATTAATTACGTTGATTAAATCCGTTTATCAACACTAAACAAGTCCAATACAGATAAAATTTAAACTGGAAGTTCTTAACTAATATATGAATTGACCATAAAATTTCCAACTCAAAATAATATCAATAGATAGGGTAATTAAATACTACAAGTCATCATTACTACACAGATTTTTCACTGTACAGCACCTTAATCAATGATTTTTATAAAATTCATTTTAACTTCAAATAATCTAAAACTTTCCAGCATTATTCTCCGAATAATGATGATCTCATATAAAAATTTTCATAATTTTTGGAATTTAATAGCTTGGTCAAAAACAACAAACATAAGCAGCTGCAACATGAACTTTAAATAATCTTACTTTATAATCTTATTTTATATACTTATATATATAAAATTTATAATATCTAAACATGATAACATATCAAAATCACATATAAACACTTATAAGTCTTAGCTATAATTGATGATATCAAAGTTTGAATACATACCTCCTCTATTTATAAGAAAAGATCATTAAATAACACACATGCACGAACTATCAATAAGACAAGTTCCAAATAAACGTAAGTCTTAAAAACCATTTCAAAAGATCCAACATTATTCAAAGCTCAACCCAATTCAACATAGTTCGAAAAGTGAAAGCAGTAAATAATCCAAGGCAATAATAGCAAACAAATAAAGTTCGAGTTTAAGCGGAAGCATAGATTTATCGACACATATGACCACCATCTCGCTCGTCCTACGCCACCGCCTCCAGCTCGTCTCAACCTAAAACAAAGGAAGAGAGAAGACAACAAGAAAATAATGGGGGTGAGCAACCAACTAGCTCACCATTATCGCACGGTTATCTCGTATAATTATTTTTAAAAAAAAGCAGTATCAGTAAAAACAGTTTCAACATCGGTATGCACAGAATTCAAAGCCTAAACCCCCTACCCAGCCCTATCGCAAACCTCCTATGTACATACAACAACCTTCCGGATACAACGGCATGGCTGTAACTGGAAACGTTCCCACCCCCGGGTACAACGGTTCGCAGGATCCTTTCCAGGAGACAGCAGAGATGTTTTTCCCCTTCCGGATACAACGGCATGGGGCGTCCCTCCCGGATACAACGGGCAGGCGACCTCCTACTGTTTTCGCATTCATCAAGGCACTAGCGTTCGGGACACTTAGACTAGAGTTCTCATGCATACAAAATTTTTCATAAGAAACATTACACGAAATAAGGAGTGCGATAAATATGGAATACATCATAAATGTACCCACCTGATAGCAGCACGGTTCACAGAATCACAAATCCAGAAACGAGGCAAGGTCAACACTTCTAGACACCTACATGATGTCAAGATCCTACAATCAGCATCTATCTCGACTTAAATCGGAAATCACAAGACAGACCTAGTCGAACTCGATCCGACTAAGTAGTTCGTGAAGTCCTGTGGATGTTGGAACACTAAGAC